CCCCGACGCCCCGCCCGCCCTCCGCCCGCGCCGCGCGCAGCCACTTACCGCGGGCCGCGGCGCACCGGCGGGTCGCGCGCGCTGGCTCGGGGAGGATTCCTGGTCTTCGGCAGGGGAAATACCCACTTTCGAAGCCGCTCCTTTGCGCCCTAAAACAAGTAGCCCCAACGTGAGAGAAACAAAAGGTATTTGCTGACGTGGGCGTTGGACAGAAACGCCCGAGGGCTGGGGACACAATTAAAGGGGCAACGCACAGATTTCAGGCACCAACCAGCAGCTTCGCCCACTCCCCCTGCCCTAGCCTACACCCCGCTGCACCCTCCAGAGGCTCTGGGGTGCCCAGGTTCCCTGGCAGTTGACTACAGAACCATTATTTAGGCAGGAGCTTAAATTTTAAAATTGTACTTTACGTTGAGAAAGGCGCCTCCGGAGGGCAGAAGGGCTGGATTTCTAGGATCTGGAGAATTTGGTTTAGGAAAGAGGGAGGGATTTAGGCGTGCCCACAATTACTGTATAAGTACATGTGACATTATTGTACTTAAGTTTAGCAACGTCAAATATAAGCGATTTCCACGGAATTTTACCCTTTATTGAGGCACTCGTTTGGGTCGGGGATAACCTTTTCTAAACCTCTACAGGTCGCAAGCATTTTATTTGAAGGGGAAAACCCAGAGAGTCTGAGATATGAGAAAATCTCTCTTAAGTTCAGAGAAAATATAAAAGTAGTAAAAATAGCAGGTTTTGTGTTTTCCAATACAAAGATTCATTGGACATCAAGACTTTCCGAGGACGTATTTATGACCCTAAGTACAAACAGGTTAAATATTTGCTAAAAATCTTAAATCACTGAATTTTCACTGCAACTGCAGAAATAATGATTTCTGCAGAAACACGAATTCTGTAGATTAGTTTCTAGTTCCTTATGCTGGGTCAGGTACTGAAAAGCACCATGATGTAATAAAACTGGGGGGGAAATGTCAAAACCTTTAGTTTTTCGATGGCTTCCTCTCCTACGTGATAGTCATATCAGGCAAAGTTTATTGCCTTGGTTCCAACAACAATTAGCTATGCATTTTGAAGATCATATGTTCTATGAGAGGGATACAGAATATCCACAACCAACTCTTAACGTCACTAACCTATTACTCTAGAGGTGTTTTGCTATTTAGCTGCATATCCTCACATTCTGAACAGGTAAACGGAAACATGTTCAAAAAGGAGGGTTGGATGTACTCAAAGTACTCTGCAAGCATCCCCATTGAGAACTCGCCAAGAAAGACCTGGGCATTTTTATAGCAAAAGGTTTTATTTCAGCCTTCGTTCATTAAAACATGCAAAGGCATTCTACAAACTTGTTCCTCAAGAGAGCACGTCAGGTGGGTGATAAACTCTGTTCCAAGGAAGAAGAAATGGGAATTTTTTTCCCCTCACCTTCTTTCCCCCTCCTAGCTTCTGAAACTTGTTTATATATTTGGAGAATTCCTTACGTTATGATTAATTGGTGAGAGGTAGATTCTGCCGTCTGCAATAGAATCTGGAAGTGCCAGTGTCTTGCTCTCCCAGAATCCCTGCAGCTAGGACAATGCCCATGGACTACACTTTGATAATCAGATGCATGCACCAGGGACTTTGAAGAGGGAGCTATGACACCAAGAAGCAGGAACCTCAAAGAAGCTTTCCGTGCAGTGGTAACAGCTACAGCAAGGTAGTATCTCCAGGTGTTGTCGTGGCAGGACTGTTAGTGGCAGCATCCACATTATCCAAGGTTAGTGCTCTCAGTGGTGCCAGCTGCCATGTCTCTGCTTGCTGAGAGCAGTTGTTGGTATCCTCACCAGGCCAGCCCTGTGGTATGATTTGGCTATTGTCTCTGCCTGCTTAGTGTAGACTCCAGCCCCTGTGCTCTGCTCTGCCTGGAACTCTGGGAACTTTTAATCCATTCATTTCTGCTTAAATCAGCCAAGGCCAGTCTGTGTGCAACTAAGAACCCTGACTGGTACAAAATGTTAAGAAGGCATCTGGACATAGGGCATAGAGCTTACTAGATACAATAGTTAGGGATAAAGTGTTGTCACTGATGTCACATGGATGGGAATTAGAACCATGGATCTGGATAGAGAGAGAATACAAAGTTGAGAAGAGAAGAAGAAGACTTAGAACCAACCTGCAGCCGCTTCATCACCCAATGGCTGGTTAGAGGAAGATGAAATTGCAAACGACACCAAGAAGCAACTAGAAAGGAAGGAAAAGGCCTGGGATAGCGTGGTGTCATAGAAACTAGGAGAGGAGTAACTCAAAAATGAAGAACTAAACAATAGTGTTAAATACTTCTCTTAGCAGTCTAAGAGAGGGGCGCCTGGGTGGCTCAGTCGCATAGGCGTCCAACTCTTGATCTCGGCTCAGGTCGCGATCTCACGGTTTGTGAGTTTGGGCCCCAAGTCAGACTCTGCGCTGACAGTGTGGAGCCTGCTTGGAAGTCTGTCTCCTTCTTTCTCTGCCCCTACCCACCTTGTGCTCTGTTTCTCTCAAAATAAATAAATGAGCTTAAAAAAAAAAACAACCCTGTCTAGGAAAGTGTCTATTAGATTTAATAACTTCGAGATCATTGACTTCAGAGACTTAAACTTGAAAGAAAGGAGTAAAATCCAGATAAGAGGAATAAGTAGGGGATTAAAAAAAATAGAGATAATGAGAATAGACAACTCTAGAGAGAGCTGGGTAGAAAGGGTATGTTCCAGTGCCGTGTAACAAGCCAACCCAAAACTCAATGGAATAAAAGAAAGCTATATCATCATGCTTACGGACGGATTCCACGGATCAAGAATTGGACAAGTGACAGCAAGGATAACCGGTCTGTGTTTCACGGTGTCTGGAGTCTCAGCTGGGAAGACACAAATGGCTAGGCGTGACTCGAACTGCTGGGAACTGGAATCATCTGGAGGGTTCTTCACGCACAGGCCTGGCACCAAGATTGGGATCACTTGAAAACTGGCTCTGCTAGGACTGCTACCTGGAGCACCTACGCATGGCCTCTCCATGCGGCTTGGGCTTTTCGCAGCATGGCGTCTGGGTTCTGAGAGGAAGTGTTCTCACAAGAGAGCCTACCAAGGTGGAGTATCCAAGAGAACTAGGAAGGAGCTGTGTGATCTTTTATACCTATCAACAGAAGTTACATTGCCTCACTTGCCATATTCCATTGGGAAAAGTAGTCACAACCTACCAAGATTCAAGCGGAAAGGGACCTAGCTGCTATCTCTTAACAGGAAGAATCTCAGAGAATTTGGGGACATGTTTTGAAACTACTGCAGGCAGGGGCTCCTGGGTGGCTCAATCGGTTAAGTGTCCAACTCTTTTTTTTTTTTAAGTTTTTTAAATGTTTATTTTATTTGAGAGAGAGAGAAAGCATGAGTAGGGGAGGGGCAGAGAAAGGGAGACACAGAATCTGAAGCAGGCTCCAGGCTCTGAGCTGTCAGCACAGAGCCCGACGTGGGGCTTGAACTCACGAACTGTGAGCTCATCACCTGAGCCACGCAGGCACCCATAAGTGTCCAACTCTTGATCTTGGCTCAGGTCATGAGTTCACAGTTCATGAGATTGAGCCCTGTGTTGGGCTGTGCGCTGACAGCCCGGAGCGTGCTTCGGATTCTGTGTCTCCCTCTCTCTCTGGTCCTTCCCAGCTTGTACTCGGTCTCTCTCAAAATAAATAAATAAACATTATAAAAAAAAAAATCTATTATAGGGGCACCTGGGTTGCTCAGTCAGTTAAGCATCTGCCTTCTGCCCAGATCATGCATGATCTCATGGTTCGTGAGTTTGAGCCCTGCATCGGGTAAACGTGAGCCCTCATCGGATGAACATGAGCCCTGCTTCAGGTGAGCAAGAGCCCCTGCTTCAGGTGAGCCCCACTTCTCCCTCTCTCTCTCTCAAATAAATTAAGTAAGTAAGTAAGTAAATAAATAAATAAATAAATAAAACTACTAGCAAAGAGAGAGGGTATTAGCTAGAAGGCAATATGGTAAAAGACTTAAAAATGTGTTTAAATGCTAATGGAAAGCGTGAAGACAAAAGAGATTAAATATACAAGAAGAATAACTAATAGTGGCTGAATTTGTGTAATTGAGGGAGAAAGAGATCAAAATCTCAAACAGAGGAGCAGCGCCTAGATAGGAAAAGTGAAAACTCCACTATCTCCATTGGAGCTAGAGGGCAAGGACAAGAACATGGATAGTCATGGTGGTTTTAAAAAATTTTTTATGTTTATTTTTGAGAGAGAGAGAACAGAGCATGAGCAAGGGAGGGCAGAGAGAGAGGGAACACAGATCAGAAGCAGGTTCCAGGCTCTGAGCTGTCAGCACAGAGCCCAACACAGGACTTGAACTCACAGACGGTGAGATCATAACCTGAGCCAAAGTAAGACGCTTAACTAACTGAACCACCCAGGTGCCCCTAGTCATGGTGATTTTTTAATGCTTACATATTCTTTGGCACTGTTCCCTTCAAGACGTTAATCCTAATTCCCCTCTGCATGAGTGTGAGCTGGACTTAGTGACTCACTTCTATAGAATAGAATAAAGTAGAAATGATAGTGTGTGATTTCAGAGTCTTGGTGATAAAAGCAAAACAGCTTCCTGCTTGTTCTTTCTCTGTCTTGGATCTGTTGTTCTGGGAGAAGCCAGTATCCTCAGGTGTCCATGGAGATGAACTGAGGCTTTCTGCCAACAGCCATGAGAGTATGCCACCTTGGAATGGATCCTCCAGCCCCAGACAAGCCTTCAGCAGACTGCAGTCCCAGCTAACAACTTGAGTGAAACCTTGCAAGAGACCCTGAGCCGGACCAACCAGCTAACCTGCTTCCAGATTCCTGACCCTCAGAAATCTTGTGAAGTAATTAATATTTGTCCTTTTAAGCCATTAAGTTGTGGGGGCAATTTGTTATGCAGCAATAGATAACTTATACACATTGTCGTACCTAAAAATGCTACCATAACAAAAACCTAAAAAATGTGACTTTGGAACTGGGCATTGGGGGAAAATGGAAGGACTTTGAAAGATGAGTGTTAATGAAACTTGACTCTTTCAAAAAATATTAGAGTCCTGATGGCCTTTGAGGAAGCTGCCAGTGAGGGCTTGAAGGAAAGCCATACAAATCTGATTGGACACTGAAAGAAAAGCGGTCCTTGTGATGTGTTGGCAGAAATTTAGCAGCACTATTGCCTGCAGTAAGGTGAAAAGTGGAAAATGTACCTAATAAATCAGGTAATCTAGCTAAGGAGATTCCCAAACAGAATGTTGAAGGGGCTGCCTGGTCTCTTCTTGCTACTTGTAGTAAAATATGAAAGGAAAGAGATAAGGTAAAGGAAGGACTATTTGACAAAAGGAAGCCAGAATTTTCTGGTTTCCAGAACTTTCTGGAAAATTTCTAGCCTCTCCAGGTGGCAAATGGTGCTAAAATTAAGAAATGGCTTCTGAGCAAATATTAAATCCAGGAAAACACAGTCCAAAGGTGAAGTGAAGGGAGTAGCATTAAAATCCTTTGCCAAGATCTAAGAAAGATTGAAGGTATTACCTCAGAGTATTGTTCATTTAGATAAAAAGCCCTTTAAAGATTTAAGGATGCGACTCAGGGACCCTCATTTAAAGAGTTGGATTCCTTTTTAAGTTTATTTATTTATTTATTGAGAGAGAGAGAGCAAGCAGGGTAGGGGCAGAGAGAGAGAGGGAGAGAGAGAAACCCAAGCAGGCTATGTTGTCAGTGCAGGAGCCCAACTCAGGGCTCAGTCCCATGAACCGTGAGCTCATGACCTGAGCCCCTCAAACAGTAGAATTCTAAGAAACTTAAGCTTACTGTTCCTCAACAGAAGCTCAAGGCAGAGAAGGGTTTATCTTGAAGAACTTTGTGAGGATACCTTTTCTCTAATGGAGTGAACTTCAAGAAGATTCGCGAGAGCCCCATGTTTTTCAGAAGTGTTTGGAAGAACGCTGCCCACTTGGACTGAAAGGATCAGAGGCAATACAAAATGAAAAGACACCTTCTGACCCCCAAAATTCTGCTGGTAGAATGCAATCTGTGAAAACTACATAGTTGCGGGGTGCCTGGGTGGCTCAGTCGGTTGGGCGGCCGACTTCGGCTCAGGTCATGATCTCGCGGTCGGTGAGTTCGATCCCCGCGTCGGGCTCTGTGCTGATAGCTCGGAGCCTGGAGCCTGTTTCAGATTCTGTGTCTCCCTCTCTCTGACCCTCCCCCATTCATGCTCTGTCTCTCTCTGTCTCAAAAATAAATAAACGTTAAAAAAAAAAATTTAAAGAAAACTACATAGTTGCAAATTGGAATTGTTTCCCATGCAAAAGGAAGGATGACTCAGAGGGCAGAATCAAGAGCCCAGAGAGTAGAACCAAGAGCCATGGATGATTAACCCCAGGCCTTGAGTTCTAATCAAGGAATTTCCAACATTTGTCCAGATAGATTTCAGAATTACTATGGACCAGTGATTGATTTGTGCCTGCATTTTCATCCCTTTTGAACAGGAATGTCCATAGTGCTTATCCCATATGTACCACGACTGCCAGTTGGGTAAGCATGAAACAGATAACTTTTCTCTTTAGTTCCTGGGTCTTCAGATCAAGAGGGACCATCTTCAAGGAGCTGTATTTAAGGAACTATACCCTTGGGAGTTACTGTAAGATGTGGATTCACATGAGAGACTGGATGACATGAAAATTTTACCTAATCCCTAAATATGAACAAGGGATTAATGGGCAGAAAGGAAGGGTATATATTTTCTGAATTGGGGTGATGGTTTATTGGTCATTGATTCATTGAATTAGATTTGGCTGAGAGTGACAATCTAAAATAACAATGGCTTCAACAAAACATAAGTTTATTTTTCTCTCACATAAAAAACCTGGAGGTGGATGATTCAAGGCTAGTATAGGAGCTCCATTCTATGAAGCCTTCAGGGAACCAAGCCTTTTACCAAGTTTCTGTTCCACCATACCTAGCTTGTGGCCCTAATGCTCCTATTCTAAAATGGACCGCCAACTCTCAAAGAAGATAGAGAAAAGGAGAAGAATGGGTAAAAGGCATATATTTGCTGTCACTTAAGGAAGATTGCTGGAATCTGCCACATCACACTTTCATTTACATCCCATTGGTCAGCACTTAGTCACGTGGTCACATCTAGCTGCAAGAGAATCTGGGAAATACGGTCTTTACAATGTATAGTTAAACATTCTCTTACTAAGGAAGAAAGAAAAGATGTTGAGGGACCACTAACAGTCTCCTAGAGTCAGTATTGTTACTTGTAGAGAATAGAATCCACTCAGGGTACTTTAAACTGAAAGAGCTTTTTATTAGACAACATTGTGCGATTTATGAATATCCCGGTGGGCCAGAGAATCATGCTTAGATGCTGAAAGTTCAGGACAACATCAACCATGAGAAACTCCCAACCATACCATGTGACTATTGTCATAGGATCCCAAATGCTGCCACCACCTAATACTATGACATTGGGAACAGACATTGAAATCTCTGCCAAGCTGCCCTAGAAGAACCAGCCCCTTCAAACTAGGCTTGCAAGAATAGCTAATATACCCAGAGCCATGGCTTTTGCCTCACATTTCTCCTTTCCTCCATTTCAATCTCACAAGGATGCATCTATTTGAAAAATAACTTCAGGGGAGTCTGGGAAATGTAGTTTTTAGCTTTCCAGCCTATGCAGTATAGGAAGGAATACAAGGGGATTGGAGAGTGTGTTAAATGAGCTAATACACAGTATATGCCACAGTCCATCATTTTGTGTACTAGTTATCTGTACAAACTTACCATACTTAAATTTAAAAAAAAAAGTAACAAAATGTTCCCGCCTAATATAATTCAACTGTCATAGAAAAAAATTCTCATTATCTCAGTGAAAGGGAATACCCAATGACTCATGAAGAACTACATCATTCTCTGAGAAATATTCATGTCTTATCCATTAAATCATAATATGATATTCTGTAACCAAGAAAGAAAATGTGTATAGTTACTACAGTCCTTGTTTCTAAAACTGGTCACAGGGAATAGTTGGCATTTATAATATCCTTCCTCTCCTTCCTGTGTTATGTCCCATAATATGTTTTGTCTTTTATGATTTGTTTTTTACGTTAAGTCCTATTTTATTACATATTAGGATTATTGCCTTCTAGATTCTTTTGATTTGTATATGCCTGGCATAGCTTTTTCTTTTTTAATATATTTTGGAGAGAGAGAGAGAGAGGGAGAGCAGGGGAGGGGCAGAGAGAGAGGGAGACACAGAATCCAGAGCAGGCTCCAGGCTCTGAGCTGTCAACACAGAGCCCAATGCAGGGTTTGAACTCACAAACCATAAGACCATGACCTGAGCCAAAATTGGATGCTTAACCTACTGAGCCACACAGGCACCCCTGGCATAGCTTTTTCTATCCTATTTTCAACCTTTCCATTTCTTTTTATTTTAAGTATATGCTTTGATAAATTATATTGTTGGATTTTTAAAAGCTAGTCTGAGAATTTCAGCCTTTTAGTTTTGAATTTAATGCAATTATTGTATTTGCAGTTAAGATTTACTTCTGTCATATTTTACATTTGCTTTATGTTTTATTCCTTTTATTCTATTTTTACTGTTCTTCTCTTTAGTCTATTGGTTAGATTGAGTTTTCTTCTCCTGATTTAAAAGTTATATATTTATATTTTGTTCATGTTGTGGTTGTCTTTAATTTATTACCTATATTCATGTTTTTTACTCCTGTGAATAATTAAATGTATCAATATTTATTTCTTCACCTTAATAAGAAAGTACTTAAGCATATGCTCATCTCTCTTTTTTTTCAGAGAATTGATATTATTTGTTATAGATGTGTTTTCTCTTTTCACCTTATTTGATACAACCCCTTTTCTTTAAAAACAAAGATAAACTTTACAAAAGTATTTGAATACTCTCTCTCTCTCTTTTTTTTAAATTTTTTTTTAACGTTTATTTATTTTTGAGACAGAGAGAGACAGAGCATGAATGGGGGAGGGGCAGAGAGACAGGGAGACACAGAATCAGAAGCAGGCTCCAGGCTCTGAGCTGTCAGCCCAGAGCCTGAAGTGGGGCTCGAATTCATGGACCGCGAGATCGTGACCTGAGCCGAAGTTGGACGCTCAACTGACTGAGCCACCCAGGCGCCCCTCTCTCTCTCTTTTTTTAAGTAAACTCTAGGCCCAACATGGGGCTTGAACTCAGGACCCCAAGATCGAGAGCCACATGCTGTACCGACTGAGCCAGCCAGGCACCCCAAAGCACTTGAACACTCATATTTCTCCAATCTCTTGGAGCATCTCTGGGATTTGTATCTCATCTCAAGTTCTTTCTTCAATACTATTTTCAATGTTTGTGTGGCAAAGCTTCCAAAGCATTGTGTACCGGAAAATATTTTTATCATGCTCTAACATTTGAATGACAATTTTACTGAATATAAAATTCTAGAATCAAAGTTCTCTTCCTGTGATACTATAAAACATATCGCTTTATTCTTATCTTGCATCCAGTGTTGCTGTTAGGTAGTATGATACCAACTCACTCTTTATCTTCCCATAGAATTCTTTTTTTTTAAACTTTTTAAAAAGTTTATTCATTTCGGGGCGCCTGGGTGGCGCAGTCGGTTAAGCGTCCGACTTCAACCAGGTCACGATCTCACGGTCCGTGAGTTCGAGCCCCGCGTCGGGCTCTGGGCTGACGGCTCAGATCCTGGAGCCTGTTTCTGATTCTGTGTCTCCCTCTCTCTCTGCCCCTCGCCTGTTCGTGCTCTGTCTCTCTCTGTCCCAAAAATAAATAAACGTTGAAAAAAAAATTTTAAAGTTTATTCATTTCTAAGAGACAGAGAGTGAGTGGGGGAGGGGCAGAGAGAGGAGACACAGAATTCAAAGCAGGCTCCAGACTCTGAGCTGTCAGCACAGAGCCTGATGCGTCATGATGATTAAGCAACTGAGCCACCCAGGCACCCCTCTTCCCATAGAATTCTTCTTTTACAATTCCCTTACAATTTTCTCTTGTCTTTGATATTCTTGCATTTTACATTTGATAGTCTTATATTTTGTTATAATGTGTCTGAGTGTAGATTTTTGTCTTAATGCTCCTGTTCGGCACTCTATGGGTCCTTTTAGTCTAAGACCTTTCATCCTTCTTTAATTCTGGGAAGGTTACCTTCACTATTCAAAAAATAATTTATTCCTCTCCATGTTTTTTCACCTGCCTTCTGGAACCCCTAATTGTTCAGATGTTGGCATTTTTATTCCTGTTCTCCATGTCTCTTGACTTCTTTTTATATTCCTTATCTTTTTGTCCTTTCTTGCTATCTTATGGAAAGTTCCTCAATATGATCTTGAAATTTACTAATTTTTCTTCAGTCACATCTATCCCTCTATTTATTCTATCTTTTGTGTTCTTTCTATTTTCAATTCTCATATTTCTTCTTGGTTCTTTTTTATGATTTCTCATTACCTCATATGTTAATATAATCTGTTCTCTAAGTATTTTTATCATCCTTATTTTAAATTTTTTATTTTATTCCAATAGTTCTTACATTATATATATATGTGCTTGTGTGTGTGTGTGAAAGAGAGAGAGAGACAGAGAGACAGAGAGGTTCAGTTTATTGTTTCTCTCATACTGGTTGTATATTGGCTCATGAATTCATGTCCCCTGAAAGTATTGGCTATTGTGTTGGCTAATGAAGTGCTTCTCAAACTGTGTTGAAGAACCAGATTGCTTTTGTTTGTAGGCGTCTTTATTGTATAAAACTTCTTACATTTTTTCACTTACTTTCACTTTCTGTACTTATTACAGACTGGGACATCAGTCTGTGAACCACACATTGACCAGTATTGTCCTAATGCACAGTGGAAATGGGTATTGGTTCAGAGTGATATATTGTATTAGCCTTTCCAACTATTCCCTTCTTTCATTCTGAGAGGATTATATGTCACCACCCATTGCTGTGTGATGTTCACTGCCTCTCCGGAGACAGAGTGCAGTTCCCGGACCCATTGTCTAGTTTGGTTTTGTGACTTGCCTGGGCCAACGGAGTATGAACAGTGACAGCATGCCAGTTCTGAGCAGGAGCTTTAGGGCACATCATATGTTTCCACCAGTGCTCTTGTTCTTCTTCTCTGCCACATAAATATGTGACCCAGGGGCGCCTGGGTGTCTCAGTCAGTTGGGCGTCCGACTCTTGGTTTCAGCTCAAGTCATGATCTCACAGTTTGTGGGTTCAAGCCCCGCATCAGGCTCTGCACTAGCAGCACAAATCCTACTTGGAATTCTCTCTCTCCCTCTCTCTGCTCCTCCCCTGCTCACATGCGCTCTCTCTCTCTTTCTCTAAATAAATAAATAAACATTTTAAAAAATAGTGTGAGTCAAATAGGGGCTGCTTTTATAGCCCAACCTGGGTCCCAGAGTGAGGTACTTTGAGCCATGGAAGCTGACCTATAATCACCAACTTGTAAAGACAGCAAAAAATATATGTTGGTGGTTGTAAACCAAGGGTTTGCAAACTACAGCCTATGGGCCAAATCCAATCTACTGTCTGTTTCTGTAAGGTCCATAAGCTAAGAATTTTTTTCATTTTTGAAAAGTTGAAAGGTAGTATATGGTTCATAAGTCATATATTAACGAGACTTACACCAAAGGAACCAAGAACACACAATGGAGAAAGGGCCATCTCTTCAATAAATGGTATTGGGAAAACTAGACAGCAAAAGATTGAAACTGGACCATTATCTTCTATCATACACAAAAATTAACTCAAAATGAATTAAAGACTTCAATGTAAGACCTAAAACCATAACACTCCTAGATGAAACTGTAGGCTGTAAGCTCCTTAGACATGGGACTTGGCAATGACTTTTTGGATTTGACCCCAAAGCCAAGGTGTCAAAAGCAAAAATAAACAACTGGGACAACATCAAACTAAAAAACTTCTGCACAGCAAAGAAAATGCTCAACAAAATAAAGGCAACCTACTGAATGGGAGAAAATATTTGCAAATCATATATCTGATAAGGAATTAATATCCAAAATATATAATGAATTCATACAACTCAATAGCAAAAACAAAAACCAAAAACCGAAAATCAAAACCAGTCTGACAAAACCAAACCAATGGGCAGAGGATCTGAATAGAAATTTTTCCTAAAAAGGCACATGGGTGGCCAATGAGTACATGAAAAGGTGCTGAACATCCGTCACCACCAGAGAAATGCAAATCAAAACCACAATGAGACATCACCTCACTCCTGTTAGAATGACTGTTACCAGAAAGATAAGAAAACAAGTGTTGCTGAGGATGTGGAGACCAGGGAAAGTTTGTGCACGGCTGGTAGGAACGTAAACTGGTGCAGGCACTGTGGAAAACAGTATGGATGTTCCTCAAAATAACTAAAAATAGAACTACCATATGATCCAGCAATTCCGCTTTAGGATATTTATCCAAGGAAAACGAAAACACTAACTTGAGGAGACATATGCACCTCACGTTCATTATAGCATTATTTACGATAGCCAAGACATGGAAGCAACCTAAGTGTGTCCATGCACGGATGAATGGATAAAGAAAATGTGATGTGATACACACACACACACACACACACACACACACACACACACACACACACTGGAATATTATTCAGCCATAAAAAAGAAGGAAGTTTTGCCATTTGCAACAATCTGGATGGGCGTTGAGGACATAATGCTAAGTGAAATAAGTCAGAGAAAGACAAATACCATATGACCTCACCTATATGTGGAATCTAACAAAACAAAACAAATTCATAGATACAGAAAACAGATCGGTGGTTGCCAGAGATGGGAGGTGGGGTGGGGGGCAAAATGGGTGAAAGGGGTCAAAGGTTATGAACTTCAAGTTATGAAATAAGTCATGGGACTGTAGTGAACATGTGGTGACTGTTGTTAATCATATTGTGTATTTAAAAGTTGCTAAAAGCATAAACCTTAAAAGTTCTCAGCATGAGGAAAAAAAATGTGTAACAGTGTGGTGATGGGTATTAACCAGACTTACTGAGGTGATCATTTTGAAATATACAC